TGTGTTTAATGCTGTAACTGTAATTGAGATGTATTCTTTTTTGTTGTTGTTGTTGTTGCTGCAGGAAAATACGTAATATAATGATATTATATAATTATATTTAAAAAATATTTTTACTATTTTACTATACTATTTTATATACAGTAGTATATTATTATAGTATAATATGTAGCAATGTGTTATATATATATATCACTGCTAAATGAGTAAATGTAATGTAAAAATATCAATATACTCAATATATTTAATTCATATATCATTATTTCAAATTTTGGCTTTGGATTTATCTTCAGAAGTTTACAAATCTTTTTCAGGAAATGTTTTGACACAATTCTGTCCTCTTTTTATATGATCTTAATAGAGTCTAGCATTGAGGGGGCTACAAGTCCTCCCTTAGGAAAAGAACACATCCCGTCCTCTCCGATGACTGACAGGAAGAAGAAAAAACGAAACAGAAGTATTAACCTGAAAGGAGACGCAGCGGCTGGACAGGCTGAGGGTGAGAGATCACATTTATGAAAGATTGACAGACGTCACATTAATACGGTGGCTGAGAGAGCTCAACTCGCTGCAACTGAAGAAAACACATGCGAATACAAAAACATCTTTATCAATTTCACAACACACGTGTGCTCCAAATACTCACAACCGAATACAGAAACACACTGCAAATAGCACAGACCACAACAGAAATGTTTCCAGGGGACCCCAATAAGTGACGAACCCGGCTTTTCCTAGTGTCCTCCTACCGCGTTTTCCATCGTCGAGTATCACGTCTGAAATGCGCGCAAGTGTCTTCAAATGTTGTTGTTGGTGTGTGTGACGTCATTGCCGTAAAGCGATTCTCGCGAGATTTGTCGGGGGCGCTCCTCTCAAACTTGCTTTCCGGGTTTTTCCAGGTTGACTCGCCCTACTATGAGTTTGTTTACCGCCGAAATGACTTTAAAGCTGTTATATTAAGGTACAATTCTTACATAGTGTGCCTTTTAATTTTCCGGTGTTTTTCCATTTGCACGTGTTCTCTTCAGTTGCTGCGCGTTGCGCTCTCTCAGCCACCGTACATTGATCCAATTTCACAGCTAAAGCGATCAGATGTATTATTGCGAAGAGTTTGCAAATTTTCTTTCTTCCCTCTTCCTTTATGAATCCAGTATATGGACCGGATTAATTGCTTTCTGTAAGGTCACTTCTTACTTTCTTCTTTCCTTTCTTCTTCTTATCCTCTGCTGCCCTGGACTAATTTCTTGCACCGCAAGCCAAGCGCAAAATGTGGAAATTAAAAAGCTTTGGTAGCTTGAGAAACATTAACAAAACAGGTAACCTGAATGAGTGAAATGTGTGAGTGGCTGAGCTGACTCCATCTTGCTGTTTTTTCTGCTGTATGTGTCTCTATGTCCATCTCTTGTCACATCATTCGATTACAGCAAATGGATCTGAGTCTTTCTGTCTGTGTTCCTGTCTCCTGAAACACATAATTATACTGAGACGATACATTAGACTGAGGACACAATGGGTGTTTTTATTGATCCCTTCCTCTTGTGTAAATAACTGTTGCTCTCTCGCCCAAACAGAAGAAGAGAGCACGGACTTCATCATCATATCGAGCACAGGACAGAGCTGGCATTTTGAAGCCCAAAGTCAAGAGGACAGGGACGCCTGGGTTCAGGCCATCGAAAGCCAGATCCTTGCAAGTCTACAGAGCTGTGAGAGCAGAAATAAGGTAAAGAGGGCGATACATTTTTATCTAAGAAGCTCTAATCTGATCTCTATCAAATTTGCATAATGGTCTTGGTCTTCATTGTGTATCATATCACTGTGCATCAAGTGCTGAGGAACATCCGGAGATGAAATTCAGATATGGGAATGGGAGTTTTGTTTCCGACAAGTGCAATCACAACAGACTGGGTCATCCGACCAATCAGAGCAGAGTAGACTCTTGAAAAGGAGGAGTTTAGAGAAACTGTATGTTATGAGAAATTGAAAGTGTTTTTTTATTACATTGGATGCATGCAAACCTATTGTAGGAAACCTCAAAGCAAAACAAGGAACCTTTAAAATAGCAAAATAGGGTCACTTTAACTTTTCCATATATCCCTAAAATCTAAAATCGAAGAGCAATAATTGGTTAATAGAATCAATACAGGACTCTGATTCCTTTTATATACGTAAATCATGTTAAGAAACGATATACTATACATATTAACAGTTTGCTCTATAATATCTCAAAATAATGGACTTCATTTTTAACTCTCAGGCTCGAAGGAACAGCCAAAGTGAAGCTGTTGCCTTGCAGGCCATTCGAAACGCCAAAGGCAACGACCTCTGTGTGGACTGTGCAGCACCAAGTAAGTGTTATTCTGCCTTGTTGTGAAAATATAAAACACAAAATGTCAATGTTGAGATCTGTTATTCAGTATATGAGAACATTACGCTCTCCTTGCAGATCCAACATGGGCGAGTCTTAATCTTGGTGCTCTGATCTGCATCGAGTGTTCGGGATACACCGGAACCTGGGGACGCACCTGTCCCGTGTGCGCTCGCTAGACCTGGACGACTGGCCCAGTGAACTCACAAAAGTGCTTTCGGCTATAGGCAATCACATGGCCAACAGCATTTGGGAGACCTGTACCCAAGGGTGCCAGAAGTTGACACCTGAGGCAACAAGGTGAGCTGACTTTGACCGTGAATGTCATTGTGGACAATGTTTCAGAGAATGATTTGGCCTTTGCTTGGTGTTTGTCTCAGAGAGCAGAGGGAGTCGTGGATCCGTGCCAAATACGAACAGCGGGCATTTGTGTCGCCCTTGCCCGCTCAGTGTTCAGAGGACACAATGTCGACTTGGTTGCTTAGAGCAGTAATCGACAGAGACCTTCCCAGACTTCTGCTGCTCCTCGCGCACAGCACCAAGGACCTGATCAACATCGCGCCTGAAGGAGCTGGGCAGCAGCATCACAGCGCATTACATGCGTCCTGCCAGCTGGGCGACGTGGTCATGACACAGCTGCTGGTCTGGGTGAGTTATTGAGCCTGACGTGTGATATAAAAAGCCCAAAACATTTTTCCGAATTAGAAATTTTTTGATAGATAACATATTTTTAATCCTCTTCTCGCATTATATAACAAATCCTTCCCTCGTAGGTCAAAATTACCCGAAGCCCTAGAATTATACTTTTATTTTTGCTCAGAAAGCTTGTATCCTAATATTTTTTCTATTTTTAATGCAATTTTTTGGAGATTTTTTATTATTGCATGTGCCCTTTAAATTACTAGATTTCAACATTAATTCAACTCTCCAATACATGCATGCATAACCAGCTCAAATCAGCTCACAATATATCACATTGGGTCAATTTGGGTGTCTCTACCGACCTCTTGTGGGAAAAGACATATAACATGATGTTCATGACTCTTGCCACTAGATGGCCTTATAGCGTAATATGGGGCAAATGAACTGTTCCCCTGGGTCCTAAAGCCTGAACTGTAGTGTATCTCTCATCTCTCTTTTTGTATATTCTGGTTCAGCAAGAGTCCAAAGACTACCTCGATGAACATTTCATTAACATATATATATATATATATATATATATATATATATATATATATATTAGTTTCGGGTCAAAATGACCCGAGGGAAGGATGTTTTGTTCACTATCATATTTGATACATCAGGCTTTTATAGCTCAGATATGATATAGGAGAATATGGAGCTCATAATCAGATACAAAACATCTAAATTTTATTCAGAGCCCCAAACTCAGCAAAAATGGTGCAGATACTGACATTTATATGGCCAAAAACTTAGACAAAATTCTGATAGCTTCTATTGTAGATAAATGAAATTGTAATTACAGCATAGCAAACTACTAGCATAAAATGCATATAAATATCAGTTGTCACTCTATATCTCTCAAAATGCATATAAATATCAGTTGTCGCTCTATATCTCTCAATAATGTCTTATTAAGATAA